AACCCCTTTCATGATTAGATGGATATTAACCTGCTCTTGTGTAGGCATAGCCTGACAGAGAATGGTAACTGGAGTGACAAGATATCAGTAGAGATTATGTAGGCTACACAGTGCTGAGAAATGTAGAAGCTCCAAATAGCCAGTGAAGAGACCTCGCTGAACATCTTAGGAATTCAGTTGAGATCCCCAGATGACCAGGCTTCAGGAGTAGAGATATTACCACCCTAGAATAAGGACTACTCTGGACCTTCCCAGCCAAAGATTTAAAACCAGCTTTAAAAGGATCAAGCTGATAACCTGATGGGCAAATAAATTAACTGACAGAACATGGCTCTTTAAGAAAAAAAAACTCCACACTGCCAGGATTATAATATCAATGATATCTAGTATATAATAAGAGTTTTTAGATATGCAGAGAAGCAGAAAAAAATGACTCGTAACCAGGAAAAGAAACTATATATGGAAACACACTCAAAGATTTTAGAATTAATAGAAAAAGTTTCCAACAGGTAAAAATGATCATAATGAATGAACTTATGGAGAATGTAAGTAGAGAGGGTATAGAGACCATCCAGTCTGATGCAAATCATGAAAAGACTAAAGAAAACTTACAGAAACCCAATGTCTTGTGGTACAATAGCAAGTCTTCTAACTAACTGGAGTCCTAAATGGAGAAGTGTGAAATAGGGGTGGAAAAGCAACTAAGAACATATTAACCAAAATTTCTTTAATTGATGAAAAACATCAGTCCATAGATCCCAGGAGCTCAACACATCCCAAGCTAGACAAACACAAAGAAAATCAAACCTAAACATATAATATTCAAATTTCTGAAAATTAAAGATGAAGGACAATTATAAGCACATGTGAAATTTTTAATTGTCGTCTTACCAAGATCATGAGAGAGTTTTAAAACACATTATATAGACATAACCAACAGTGTGAATTATCTCGGACTTCTCAAAAAAATGCAAGCCAGAAAACAATGGAATAATAGTTTTAAGTGCATAAAGAAAAATCAAAAACAAAGAACTGTGAACTCATAATTCTACATCTAGGAAAAATATTCTTCAAGAAAAAAGATAAAATTAAAATATTTTCAGATTACAAAAAGCTAAGATGATTACCAACTGACATGCATTATAGGAAACACCAAAAGGAGTTCTTCAGGCTAAAAAACAACATTAGAGGAAAAATTGATTCTACATGAAAGAATGAAGATTGTGAGAAATGGGTAAGCAAAGATATTTTTGTTTTTAAAATCTTTTAGAATTGATTGTTTAAGCAAAAAATGATGACAGTGTATCATTGAGTTAAAATTATATGTTGAAGTAAAATGACAATAACACAAATAACATGACAGGAAAAATATTTCATTGTAATATCTTACATCATTGGAGGATGTGTATGAAATTAATTCATTGTAGATTGTGATAAAACACACACATTATAATTCTTAGAAAAGCTGCAAAAATTAAAGAGATATGGCCAGAAAGCTGATTGACGATTCTAACATATAAAAAAGAAATACCAAAAATTGCTTGATTAAAAAAGAATGACTAGAAAGAATGCAAATTTAATAATTTGGGTAAATGAAAAACAAGTAGCAAAATAGTCAACTTACACCCAGTCATATAAATAACCACATTACATGTAAATGGATTAATCTCTATAATTAAAAATTGGATATCATCAGACTAGATAAAAAAGCAAGTCCTAACTATATGCTGTTTACAAGAGATGTTTTAACTCTAAAGATCTGGAGAGTCCAAAGAACTCTCAAACCTATTTTGTTTCATGCTATTTAAAATAAAAAGACAGAAAATTATATTCCTTCAAATACTAATTATAGGAAACCTAGATTAGCTTTATTAATATCAGACTTCAAGGTGAGGTGTCTGACCACATTAAAGGATATTTCATCATAACCAAAGGCTTAATTCATTAAGAAGACATAGTGGTCCTAAATGTGCATACACCTAATAACAACTACAAGAAGGAAAAACTGAATTAAAAGTAAAAACAGAAAAATCCACAATTATAGTTGAACACATCAACACTATACCGTCAGTAAATGATAGAAAATGTGCACAAAAACATTAGTATCCAGAATATTTAAATGATACTGTCAACGACTTTAAACTAATTGACATTTACAGAACGCTTCATGTAGCAACAGCAGAATACAGATGTTTTCAAGTGCACTTGAAACATTCACCAAAATAGGCCATATGCTAAGCCATCAAATAACTCTCAATAAATTTTAAGAGACTAAAATAATAAATGTTCATTCTCCAGTAATGCTGGAATTCAACTTGAAACTTACAAAAATTTACATCATAAAAATTCCCAAATATTTGGAAGATAACAACACATTTCTAAACTCATGAGTCAAAAAAGAAACAACTAAGTTAATCACAAAATAAGTGAGCTGAATGAAAACAAAACAGCATATAAAAAAATGTGTGGGATGCAAGGAAAGCAATGCCAAGAGAAAAATGTACAGCTGTAAAGGTTTATATAAGCAAAGAAGAAAGGTTTAAAATCGAGATGTAAGCCAGGGTTTGGCAAACTAGGGTTCACCAGCTTAGAATGGCTCTTACGTTTTTAAAAGGAAGAGGGGAAGGGAAAGAGGAGAAGGAGGAGGAGGAGGAGGAAGAAAGGCAGCTGCAACAGAGACCATATGTGGCCCACAAAGCTTCCAGTATTTACTCTCTGGCCCTTTACAGAAAAAAAGTTCGTGACCCCTGACCTCAGTTTCCACCTCATACTAGGAAAAACTGATGAAGGTAAATCCAAAGCAAGTAAAAGGAAGAAAAATTTAAAGATAAGTGTTGGATGTCTATGGTTTCTCTAGAAAATAGAAAAGCAATAGAGGAAAATTAATGAAACCAAGTGATGCTTCTCTGGAAAAATCAAGGATGCCAAATTTCACCACTTCTAGTCGGCAGCATACGAGAGATCCTAGCCTGTGCAAGAAGGTGCCAAGAAAGATAGTCAAGTCAAAAAGATTGTTTAAACTTCTAGAAATTGTTGCCTACATTCACTGTCTCTGCTTTTTACCCTCCCATTATTCCTTAAGTTCACTCTCATCAGACCACCCCTCCCCCACCTTTCCAGCACAGCCTCTCTTGCAAAGATCACCATACACCTCCATATTGCCAAATCTAACAGTTCATTCTTCATGTAATTTAACCTGTAAACATCATTTGACGTAATTGACGTTCCCTCTTCCCTTAAACTCTTTTTTCACTTGTCTTTTGGGACTTCCTGGTTTTCTTTCTGACTCACTTGCCATTTCTGTTCCATCACTTTATTGGGATCTCTTCAGCTGTCCAAGCTTTAAATGTTACAATGCTCAGATTTTACTTCTCAGACCTCTTCTCCATGCTCTGTACACTCTCTTATTAGCATATAGGTGATTTGAAATAGCCCCTACATGCTAATAATTCTTCTTGATTTTATAAATCTCCAGCCAGGGCTTGTCCCCTGAGCTCCGGATTCCTTAAGCCAGCTGCCTCCCCGACATCTCCATTTTGATATATTAGGCACTTAAAACTTAACATATGTAAGAGTAAATCCCTGATCTTCCCTCCACTCCCACCCAAAGGCTGGCCCTCCTGCAATCTTCCTCTCCTCTGTAAACAGTAATTTCATTCTTCATCCTGCTTAGGACAGAAACCTTAGCATCATTCTTTTCTCATCCTTTCAATATCCCATATCTAAATTCATCAACAAATCTCATCAGACTGCTTTCAGATATATCTAGAATTTAATCATTTCTCACCACTTCCTCCAACCACCCAGGTCAAAGCCATCATTCCCTCCCATCTCGGTTAACTAACAGCTTCACAACCGATGCCCTGGCTCCCACTCTTGTTCCCTCGACAGTCCCTTCTCTGGGCAGCAAGCCAGAATGGTCCTCCTAAGACATAAGTCAGACCACATTTCTTTTAAGCTAAAGCCATTCAAGTGTTCCTCTAACTCATTCTAAGTAGGATCTGCCCCTAGCTGCCTCTCTGCTTCATCTACTACTTCCCCACTTGTGCACTCCGCTGTAGACTTTCTTGCTGCTCTGGGAACGTATAATAAGCATGTTCCCACCCCAAGGCCTTGGTCTTGGTCTTTTGTCTGCCTGGAATACCCTTCTCTCAGTTATCTGCACTGAGTTCCCCCTGACCTCCTTCAGTTCTCTACTCAGACATCCCAGGGAGGACTTCTCCGATCCCTTATTTAAAATAGCTATTCCCACCCTGTCATTCTAGGCCTTTTTTGCTTTATTATTATTTGTCTGTCTTCTTTAACCTAAACTTTTATCAGTTTAGGTTAAGATCAGGTAAGTTACACAAGGACAGGGATTTTATGTATTTTTTTTTCATTGCCGTATTCACAGTGCATTGGGTGCACTCAATATTTGGTGAATACATTAACTTATTCACTAGCTCATCTGTTTGTTTATTTATTTGTGTGTTTACTGAATTTCTACGTGCCAGGCACTGCCCTTAGCTCACAATCTAGTAAAAGTAATTGGAACAACTACCATTTTTTTGTGGTGACTAATCACTTTGCATATGCCATTTGATTTCATCCTTACATTAGCCTGTTCTACAGATGAGGAATCGAGCTTGGACCAGTTAAATAAATGGACTAAAGTCAAGCAGTTAGTCTGTACTACCTTTTCCAAAACCTGTTTATCGACTACTGCCTCCCACTGAAATGATGTTCTTCTGCACTGACATTTAGCTCATGTCTCCATAAACATTTTTAAATAGTTTAAGTATATTTTCTACAGGACTCAGAATGAATGTGAGTGAATAAAAGAGTTCATGATTATGAGAATTGTGACTTCTTTGGGGGACTTATTTGAGAATAAACGAATTTCCCAATTCCTCAATTCCCTTCAGCCTCTTCCCCTCTGATGAAGGCATGGGGAAATCCATTGAAGCGAACATTCTAGCATGCCTTCTCATCAAAACTCCATCGTGTTTGTGCTCTGCCAGGAACCTACTGCCAGCAGAGAGAGGTGGAAGCCATCATGGAGGGCGACGAGGAGGACAGAGGCTGCTGCTTCTGCAAACCGGGCCACTTGCCCCACCTGCTGTCCTGTAACGCCGCCTTTCACCTCCGCTGGCTCACCTGGGAAATCACGCGGACCCAGTACATCCTAGAGGGCTACAGCATCCTGCACAACAACGCGGCCACCATGCTGCAAGTGTTTGACCTCCGAAGGGTCCTCATCCGCTACTACATCAAGGTACGCTCTGCCTTCCAAACACCTGTCTAAGACAGAATGCTAGGATGGCACAGGAAGCTCCAAACGAGCTCCTCTGAAGCTACATTTTGAAGCTTCTCATCCTCAGCTTCTGAATTGGAAACCCAGCCATCCGGGGAACCATTGCTTTTGGAAAAATCCTAGAGGGCTCTGCTTTAACCTGAGGTTTGTGCCCTGGGTCATATGCTAAGCATAGCCACCGATAGGCAGACCGTTTTGTTACCTAGGCCTTCTTTGCCTCTTCTACCACAGCATGATTTCCTTGTCCTGATGATGATGAGAAATTTAAATATCCTAGAAATATTACTAAGCCTCCATGTTTGAGTTATAAGTGTCAAATTAGGTGCTCTGCAAAGTGTCCACTTGAGAACCAGAATTGTATTTTAAGCTCACAAGGAGCACTCAAAATGTAGCTAAATCATCCAGTCAGAATTGGTTGTGACAGCCTTTTCTCCTATGGTTCACATGGAGACCAATTACATATTTTTTCAGTTGCTCAGTGCCTACATCTGCCCAATCTGTATTCAACCTCAGAAATCATGGCAATTTGGAGTGAGTCTCCTGGAAAACAAGTGTAGGACTTGACCGAGGATATGTCGTGCTTATCAGGGCTGAGCTGTTTTCTGAAAGGGGTAGGGGCAGGCAAGGGTTGTGTGGTGGAGGAAATCTTCTCTGTGGGACTTATGCAGGAGATTTGTGGGGACTTGGCATGGTGGAAGTCCTGAATGACCCACAGAAAGGTCATATTTTAATGCTGTTCAAAAAGAGGAAGCTTGGCTTCTGAATTGGAAACCCAGCCATCTTGTGAACTATTGCTTTTGGAAAAATCCTAGAGGGCTTTGCTTTATGTGAGTGAATAAAAGAGTTCATGATTCATCAGAGACCACAAAGCTCCCCGCCAGCATGCTGAGGCAAGTGGTCCAGCAGAAATGAGGAAACCCAGAACGAAAAGATAACATGGCACCTAAAGTTTTAACTAGCTAACAAGCAAAGAGCATTGAGAAAAATTTGGAATAAAACCAAGCATGGTGGCTCGTGCCTATAATCCCAGAGCTTTGGGAGGCCAAGCCAGAAGGATTGTTTGAGCCCAGGAGTTTAAGACCAGCCTAGGCAACATAGCAAGACCCCATCTCTACCAAAAAAAATCTAAAAATTAGCTAGATATGGGGTACACACCTGTAGTCCCAGCTTCTCAGGAGGCTGAGGCAAGAGAATTGTTTGAGCCCCAGAGTTTGAGGATGCAGTGAGCTGTGATTGCACCACTGCACTCCAGCCCGGGTGACACAGCAAGACCCTGTCTCAAAAAAAAAAAAAAAAAAAAAATTTGGAATAGCTATTGGGGATTCCTGACATGCTTAATAGCTGCTGAAGCTAAATGGAAATAGAAGATAGTCTGTGAAAGTCAGAAGGGCAAATAACTGTTAGATCTTATCCCTTTAGCTGATTGCAACACAAAATGTTTGCAAAACCCTTTCCTGTGGCAGAATATTTACAATAGTTTTAGCAGTTCGTGCTCACCATCTTTGTGTGTGCTAGAGATGCAAAATATTATATTCAGATTTCATGCAGAACTATACATGTTGCGTCCAACTTAAATTGGGGCAGATTTGGGAAGCAAATCAGGGAGTTATAACCTATCTTCTATTTCTAAACTCTAGGTAAACTCGATATACCAGTTGTGTTAGATTTGGCAGTGGGCCATGACATCAGAGTGGCATGTGTGTTAGAAGCTTAGTTCTCTCGAACTTTGATGATGGTTGGTATGGTCACTTCCAGAATTTGAGTTCCATGATTTAAGTTACAGGCTTAAAGGGATAGAGGAAAGGGCACAGGAAATGAAGACCAAGGGTATGCACCAGCTGCCCGTTAAAGAGGTTCTAGGACGTTACCACAATATCTTCCTGCTGTATTCCATCAGCCAGAACATTGTCACATGCCACCTGGAAGAGGGTCTGGAAAGTGTATTTTGGGCAGCCATGAGCCCAGAATGAAATCATATGTTCACAGAAGAAGGAGAAAACAGATGATAAATGGTAACCAGCCATCTCTGTTATATCCCTCGACAAGGAAAGTGTCCCTTGAGTATTTCCTTTAGTTTTCAGGAGGCAAGACAGGGTGGTTACAGGAACAGCTAGATCCAGTGGCTGACTCAGCAAGAAGACTCACAGGCCCATGAAGCAAGTGGCTGGAAGGGGACAGTGAGGACCAGTCGTGTGGGTCTAGACAGGCCAGGTAGATAAGCCCTGGAGTTGACATCTCCCTGTTGCCTCAAGAATTAGGCTAGACTCTTTCATCTGCTACCAAGAGACCTCCACTGTTGCTCCTGGCTGTGTTTCCCACTCCCCTTCCCCCATCTCTCGCTGTTTTGTGTACACACTGTGCATATACTACCTGTGTTCCCTGACCTACACACTTGCACACTGCTCGCTCCTCCTGCAGAGACTCTCATCTCCCTCCCACATGCCCAACAGCTTCTCTTGCAACCTCGGTTCCAACAGCTCTTCCTCACCAGCTGGTTTACCCGGGGCCGTGCTTGGCATTCACCTCCCCTGAACCTTTCCTGCTTCACTTTATGGCAATTCCCTAAACAAAGCTCTTTCAGTCCTCAGAGCTCTGCTTGATGACCTGTGTATCACATGGCCCAATCAGTTTTTTTGTACTGAATGAACAAAGGTTCCAGGGAACATAGGTTTGGAGTCTGGGTCATACAGTCTGGAGAAAAGAGATCTTAATTCAGGCAAGGGTTTGGTGGCCTGCTGCAGGCACGAGTGGTGGGAGTGGGGCTCAATACTGAGCCACATCCCTGCCTTTCCATGAGCCAGACATGTGGACAGACCTGACCCCTCACCATGGGGCCAGCAGATCACCATGAGTAGGAACGAAGGGAGGAGCAGTGAGTGAGATGCCCTGCCTGGGTCCATTCTCCCTGGCCTAACCCTGTTGGCTTTTACAGAAGCCTTGGGGATTACATGATTGGACCAGCTTTTGATGTCTTCTTTCCTTGGACTGGTAGTTGATACTCACCTTTCTTTTCTCCTGACTGCTGGAAATGTGCCTCCCAGTTCCCTAGATAATTTCTAAGATGACAATTTGCCATTTGGCAAATCCAGGATCATGTCCAAATGAAGAGGGCTCAGGAAGGGCCCCCCAGAACCTGCTGGGTAATAGTTGGCTTATGGGAAAACAACATCCTTGACTTTGTTTTTTAAGAAAGGAGAGCGAAGACAGAATGGCCATTGCAGGTGGGCTAGGAGAGGCAGGAAGTGCACAGGTGTGCTACCTAGCATGGCGCCTCTCACAAGCCAGAGCCAGGGCAAACCTAGAGCAGACTCCCCTCCTCCCCCCGTGAGCTAGATAATTACACATTCAAATTCCATGGGCCTGGGGTGGGACCCAAGGACTTACATTGTTTAATAAGTTTCCTAAGTGATTTGATACACAACTAGACTTTGGAGCTACTACAGACACAACTGTGCCCACAGAAACAAGAATTTTCTTAACTCCAAGTCAGCACTCAGGATGGGGCTGAGATTTATGGAGAGATGGGGCCTCATAGTGCTCCCGTGTCTCATTCACCTTGTAACTGTCAGGCCTATCCTGCAAGGTTGCCTCCAAATACAGCACTCAGTGCTTTCCCGCCCTTCGGCAAGGGGTGGCTCGGAACTTGCACTCATTCCCCGGTGCAGCTAGTTAAGGGAAATTTCAGGAGGGCTAAGTGGCTATTAGAACAGAAGAAACAGCATTTTGGGGGTTAACAAAGATTATTTTCTTCTTCGGCCCAGTTGCTAGGTAAACAAAGTTGCCTTTGTAGCTCTGAATTACTTAAAGTTTCAAGAGTTCGGTGCATTCTCTTTATTATTTTCTTACTGGAGAGGCAAAGTGAAAAGGAAGAAAATTTGAAATCATTCCTTTACTACAAAGGGAATTTTTTAAATCTCCTAATAAACTGAGTTAGTTCCCCCACCCTCCATGAATATATTTGAAATCATTTCCTTCCTGGTGACCTGAGGTTCTCCCTCGTGTCTCCTCCAGCTCTCTTCAGTTTATTAGTGTTTAAAACCCTCTCAGCAGTCGAGGAATCTGCTTCTTTCTGTGTGGGCCTGGCGCTCTGGCTGCCATTGTTTCTGGGCAGCTCTTTTAGAAAGGAGACGTGCTTATCACTGGCCTTGCAGAATGAGGAGCGAACAACCTGTCAGGTGGGTCTGCCTGCCAGGCCCCCCTTCCTAGGATGAGCTGTCTGAAAGAATATGCTGATCTACAATTGAAATGAGGAACCCGGAGGATCGCTGCTGGAGGAGCCAGATATCATGAATTTATTCAGGAGGGGTCCAGCTTTTAACACGGTCCAGGTTTACCCCATCAATTCATTGTCACTACCCCAAATCATCAGTTTTACTTAGTGTTGTATCCACTTCATCCTGACAGATTCTGAAGGATTTTACAGTGTTCATTGACTATGTCTCCATGACAGAAGTTCTGCGTAGAAGGAATGGAGATAGGGTACAACTTGCAAAAAGTGGGATGGTTCTGTTTTCTCCCGGTGAGCAGTGTCGGTGCTGTGATTTAGAAGCTGAGCATCAAGCTGAGCTCTGTTCTGAAGTCGGCACTGCGGGGTTTTGCCAGACAACAGGAGGAAGTGCTAACCTCTGGGGTTCAAAGTCCTCATTAACTATTCTGACTTCATCGGCTGTGGGGTTGTTTTCATTCCTCCCTAGCAATGAATGAAAACATAAAAACTCTGTCTTTCAATCTTTGTTTGTTATTCTTATCTGGTATGTGATTAGGCCATATTGGGGGAAACTAGACCAGATGTTCACTAGAGCTAGATGTTTGGAGAGACCAAATTTCTTTTTTCCCTTTGCAATGCCCAGCCGAGAAGCAGTGCCCATGGGCATGGGCTTCATTACCTTCTTTTGCTTGCAACTTTGGGCCGACCACTTAAACTGTCTGTAAATGATCCAGCCAGCAAGGAGACAAGAGAGAACCCTCCAGATTCAAAGTTCGTATTTGTGACTATGAGATGTGCACTCTGGTGACCACCGCAGACACAGCAGGTCTCCTGTCCCCTAATGCCATCCCCGTTCCCTCGCCCCTGTGCCTCAACCTCTCCTGGGCTACTGCTACTGCTGCCACTGTCCGCCTCCCCTGGGAGCCCCACGCTTATCCTGCTTGCTGGGTAGGTAAGTCACAGATGTCAAAGACATGACTTTTTTTTCCACTTGCACACATGTTAAGGGGCCAGGCCCTGTGCTAAGTTCCTCATATACATTATCTCATTCTAAACCTCAGAACAGACATGCAACGTGGACATCATTAGCACGTCTTTCTTTCCTGCCTTTGCTTTCAGCTTCCTTGACCTCTTCCATCACTCACTCTCTTCCTTCCTCTTTATATTGAAGAGATTTCTTGAGGCTGGCATGGTTATCATGGGGTGCAGGGTTACAGAGGATGGGAGAAGAGGCACGCTACTGAATTCTAGTGATTATCTGCAGATTTCATTTTTCCACTTCCTCATTTTTGGGACAGGTGAACTGAGGAGTCTAATAGAAGATGTGCCCAAAACAAGGAAGACCATAAGCCAAGAACCATGGATGAACCTCCCTAAAGTCCAGGCTGTCCTTAGTCCTCACAAAAGAAAGCCTAAGTCATGTGTTTCCAATTGTTTAGTGGAAATCAGAGGCTGTCTCTTCACCTGCTAAACTCCTAAAAAAAAAAAAAACCTTGAAACCAGATACCTCAGTAACCTGAGGCCTTGAGCTCTGAGTTTCATTTTCCAGCCAGAGAGGGAGGGTGGGAGCTCCCCTAGAAAAGGGTTTCTCGGCCCACTCCACTTACAGGCGTCAGTCACTGAAGACTTTGTCTCCGTCCACCCAATATTCATTTCTTTCTGCTTTCTCATTTAAAAAGAATGTGTTTTTTATAAACAGAGAAGAGCATCAGTTAAGTGTTTCTAACAGAAGCACACAGGCCTGCCTCCTTGCATTAAACACTGCGAGCCCCCTAGCCTCTCATGATTTCATGATGAGAGGTGCAGCCTCGTTCCAGGGATGCCCCTCAGCCTCAACAGCCCCAAGCACCACTTGCATTTTTCTGCTATAATGGAACTGCGGTGATGCTGGCAGTGACTCTGCAGCAGCACACCCTGATCCGAGCCTATCAGCCTTGGATTTTCATTTCCTCTGTCACATTTTTATTTCTTGAGGCCAGGTGCTAGCCTTTTTGAAGGAGGAATTCATTCGAAAACTACAAAATGGCTTTCCACAAAGCTGTTACTCAGAATAATCAAGCCCAAGGGAGGCATTTTCTCCAAATGGGACTCATAAGTACAGTGTCTGATTAAGAAGGAAACATGGGTTCCTTGTGAACGTATCACAGATGTCCACTGTCTGGGCACTCAGGATTAAGTGTGTGAAGGTTACAACAATTTCACATGGTCCATACTTTCCCTAAGAACTGCGTTGTTTTGGCTGGGCACAGTGGATCACACCTGTAATCCTAGCACTTTTGGGGGCTGAGGCAGGAGGATGATTGAGCCCAGGACAAGACCAGACTGGGCAACATGACCCTGTCTCTACAAAAATAAAAACTAAACAATTAGCCAGACATGGTGGCTTGTACCTGTAGTCCTAGTTGCTCCAGAGGCTGAGGCAGGAGGATCGCTTGAGCTCAGGAGTTCAAGGCTTCAGTGAGCCATGACTGTACCACTGCACTTCAGCCTGGGTGTTAGAGAGAGACACTGCTGTCTCAAAAAACAAACAAACTCAAAACCCTGTTGTTTTAGCTCATTAAATACTCTTTGGCTAGGACTCTGGAGGAGGGTCTACCCCAGTCAACCTAGGTTGAATCAGCCTAGCCTAGGACCCACCAAAGCCTGCAACAACCCCAGCCAAGGGTGCTTTTGTGTGCTTCTATCAGAGAGGACAGGGCTGACTGTCATTCTTCTTCATCACAGAAATTCTGTTCTGTTACATTCTGTTAGCATTACGTTCTTCTCATTTCCCTCTTCCCTATGATAACCCTTAAGAGAGGACATTTTAGAATGTCTGAAATGAGTTCTGTGCATTACACCCAGCAGAAAATACAAACGATCCCATATGTCGGGATTTCATGTCTCTTACTTTTCCTGAGGTTATTTTACTTTCTACGATTAAATAAACAAATAAATTCTTCCTGGCTTTAGAATAGCTGTAAAGGCTCAAAATCTTGCTTTTTCTCTGCAGAGTATAATATACTATATGGTAACATCTCCCAAACTCCTCTCCTGGATCAAAAATGAATCACTTCTGAAGTCCCTGCAGCCCTTTGCCAAGTGGCATTACATTGAGCGTGACCTTGCAATATTCAACATTAACACTGATGATGACTACGTCCCGTGTCTCCAGGGGATCACACGAGCTAGCTTCTGCAACGTTTATCTAGAATGGATTCAACACTGTGCTCGGAAGAGACAAGAGGTAGGTCAGGGAGGTGGGCGCTGGGCATGGAATGGAAGTTTAATAAACAAAGAACATTGTCATGTCCAGCTCTTTCTAATATTCTTTGGTAGACTTACAACACAGAGGATAGAAACAAAAAGCACTATTTGGATAAATGTTTATTGAAGGTAAGCAAAATTAAATAGGAGAATCAATATACCATGTCTGTAGTGAAGGAGACTTGAAGGTTTATATCCCTTTATGCGGTGCTCAGGGCCAGTGCAGTTTTAAGCCTCTATTATAGCTTTTAAACATTTGCAGCTTCTCTGTGCTGGAATCAGGGGGATTTACTGAATATATTTAATCATGGGCATGAAAATTCTATTTGGCAATCAGATGGTTCAACTTAACTTCTGCCATCGTTATTTTGTGTGTCTGTGCTGTTATTGCTTATGTGCTGAGAACACTTCTCTGGAAGTGAATCCTACCTCTGAGAAATATAATCAAGAATTATGACAGTTTGTAAAAAGAGGAGAAGGGGCAGGGAAGGAGCAGAAGGGGGATGGAGCAAATGAAGGGAGCAGGTTTACTTTGCTTCTTAGGATTTGAAAAGCTGAGTTCATGGGTCATTGTTGGAAAATGTGGGTGCAGGTTAGAAACAACTTCCTCAGCAGCTGATGCACTATGTGGCATGTGCTAGGCAGAAAAAATCCAAACCAGCACACTAGCCAACGTCTGTGAATTTCTTATGGGTGATTAGAAACAGGTGGCAGAAGAAGCAGGTGGCAGAACCTGCTTTGTTCAGACCAACCACGAAGAAGATACGTTAATCTTAATTCATGCCAGCCTCTTTAACAGTTGAGATATACAAAGAATTGATTGATGCTATCGGCTATAGCTCCATAATGGCTCTGTCCTTTCTCAGTTGGTTCATGAAATTATTTTATTTTTCTTGCAAAAGATATTTTTACTTTAAATTTTCTCTCCATCCCCCTACTCTCCATCACCCCCCCTTTCCCCCCCTTTTTTTTTTTTAATCTGACTTTGGACAATTTTTTTTTTAAGAGACAGAGTCTCACTCTCCCCAGGCTGGAGTCCAGTGGAACAATCATAGCTCATTGCAGCCTCGAACTCCTGGGATCAAGTGATCCTCCTGTCTTAACCTCCCGAGGAGCTGGGACTCAAGGCACGTACCACCATGCCTGACTAATCTTTAAAAACTTTTTTTGGAGATGGGGTTTTGCTATGTTGCCCAGGATGGTCTTGAACTCCTGGTCTCAAGTGATCCTCCCACCTTGGCTTCCCAAAGTGCTGGGATTACAGGCATGAGCCACCATGCCTGAGCTGAAAGATTAATTTAGTTGTTGATTGTGGACTTACAGTCAACCAGTCAACCCACAGGGCTCCTTGTTACAGGGAGAACAGAGGACTCTCCTTCACATTGGATCCAAATTCTTTTTCTCTCCCTGCTAGACCATGCTTCTCCTTTGCATTGGAGAGTGTTAAGGTGGGCACACCTATTTACTGTAATTACTGCCCAGCTTTATGACCTGAAGTGCCATATTTCAAATCCCAGAAAAGCAGGTCATCAGTCCATGTTGTAGGCCTCTTTCTCTCCTAAAATAACTTTTCCACTTTTATTTTTTTTCCTTGTTCAACCACAGGAGAAACCCCTTCAGGGAGCTGAGAGTTCCCTGTCTGTGGGGTCATCTTAGAGGGGACTGATGGCCACGTGGTTGACTTGCAAAGCCTACTGTCACTCTACATTTATGATTCCGTGTTGGTACATATCGGAACCAGTGTGAAAGCTGAGTTAACTTCTTGCTCTTTCAGCCTTCAAAGAGCCTGGACAGTGACGAGGACTCTCCCTTGGTGACTCTGTCCTTCGCCCTGTGCACCCTGGGGAGGAGAGCTCTGGGGACCGCCGCTCACAATATGGCCATCAGGTACCTGGGGGAGCAGTTGCAGTCTCTTAAGTACAGGCACCCACTTTTACATGTTTGACAGATTTTGTCAATCATTTTCTTTAATTTGAAGCCGGACTTCTTACACTACTTTCAGATAGTTCTTTTCATAATAAATTATGTTGGGCCTGCAAGAACATTTTTTTGATCACTGATCTTTTGGAGTATTCAATTTGGAAATATCATTCACATGGAACATTCAAGACCCAGGGATTCTGGGTGTAGGACCTTCTGTAGGTCCTTGCAGATTTGCTGGGAAGATTCAACACAATCATGCCTATGAAGTGTCTAGTGCAGTCCCTAACAGAGTTGGTGCTCAATCAGTGTTAGTTCCCTTCCCCTAACTGTCTTCATAAAAGAAAATCTTCACATCTGAGCTCTAGTCCACACCGTGCTTCACCCTGTCTCCTGAGTGCCCAGACAGTGCCCAATTAATTGGAGGCCACTTCTGTTTTTCAAACCCTTTTTCTACTGGATCTCTCCTCTAAGTAGGTAAATAGCTCACGTCTCTCTTTTTAAAGAACAAAAACAAAATTAAACTCTTCTGGCTCTTTGGCATCCTGTGCCACTCAGGTGATGTCGTCCACCAAGGAAACAGTACTCATGCCAACCTGCTCTTAGGAATTTCATGAGCCACCTTCAAATCACCCAAATCAGTGGCCACTGCTCAGATGTCCGCTTTCATAGCACCTGGGTATATGATTAAAATAACAAGCTCCTTTGTTGGATCAATTTGAAATGTTCCATAAACTTCAAATTACAAATATTATTTCAGTTCATACCTAAGACATTTTCAAAGGCTTTTTCAGTCTTGTTTTTTGTGTAACTTGTTCAGATATTCCCGATCCAGGCATTTCTTGCTTGGTCTGCTTTATTTCTTTTTCTTTAACTAAACGCCACGCTTACCAGCTGCTTTTTTGGTGTTTAGCACGAGGGGCTACGGCCCTGAACTCCGCCTGCTGACTCGAATCACCTTGATGAGCGGTTCTCAACCCCACGTGCACATTAAGATCTCCTGTCAGGCTTTTAAATATTCTGATGCCCAGGATATTTAATAAATTCCATGAGCGCCTCTGTGACGGAACCACAGATCCCAAGTTTCAAAAGCTCCCAAGGCGAATGCACTGGGCAGCCAAGCTTGAGAACCACACAAACCTAGGGAGCTTGGAGGAGAAAGGGTGCCTCTCCTTAGCCTGCCCCTCTGGGTTTTCTTCTACTTGGACTTGCTTCATCGTGTCTATATTACATTATTGACCATGCACTGCAGAAGGGGTTCTTTTGATATTGAATTGAGTGAGTTTTGCGTGGTTAGGTTGGATTTTAAACTCATTAAGGGCAAAACCCACCTGTCTATTTGCTTTGCAGCCTTCAGAGTTCTGGGGTATCAGGTAAACAAGCCCAGGGAGATTTGTTGACTGTTTCTGAATGTCCTTCTTGAAAGGGACAGCTGTGAGTCTACTCTGGTGGCAAGTGGCTGGGAGGTATCATCAAGTAAGAGTTGTGAATTGATAAAGGGTAAAGTGTTGTGGCTAGTAGCACTTTCCATTTCCCTCTGGATGCCTCCAAGCATCCAGAGTCACCTGAAGGACTGGAGTCACCAAGAGGGACAGGCAGGAACCAAAGGTAGTTAGAATTTGTGACATCAACTATTCTTTCAACTCCCACATCTCAGAATTTCATGATCTCTTTTACATGTGAGAAATGCCAAAAGCCTGACCCTTAAAGTCTCATGTTAATGCCTGTTTTAGGCCAATCTTCTGGGAAGGAGCTGGCTGGCCTCCAGTCTCTCCCCGTCCTCCCTGACCCAGTCTCACACTGGACTCAGGGCATTCTCTTTGTGGCCATCTGGGACTAAGCTTGATGATTGTTGCAGGTCTAGCAGGAGACTCCTCTGTGGGATTCGTAAAACATTATGATGTGGACCCTAAGAGCAGCTCCTTATTAAACTGTAAGCAGAGAACAGTGGTTTCATAAGATCTTGCACTTGAAATCACAAAATGACTCTTCAGATATTCGTAGCACTGGGAAGATGAATAAAATAAGATCAATTTGAAATGTTTTATAAACCTCAAATTACAAATATGATTTCAGTTAATACCTAAGACATTTCCGAAGGGTTTTTCAGTCTTGTTCTTTGTGTAAGTTGCTCAGATGTTCCCGATCCAGGCGTTTCCTGTTTGGCCCACTTCACTTCTTTTTCTTTAATTAAACGCCATGCTTACCAGCTGCTTTTTAAAACTTTGTTTTGACGGGATTTCCTTTGTTTCAAGTAGTTTCTCATACTCGATGTCAACTCCGCTTGCTGCAGACATGGTGATGAGATAACTCTGGGGAGAATCCTCTCAGTATTCTAGGGAAATACTTGATTATTTGGGACTGGTTCACTTCACTGAGAGGTTCCATGACATACAAAGATCCTCCGAGACACTTTCATTTCAGTTTTTTCACTTACAAAAGGCAACTTCTTTTATATCCTACCCTAAGCCCATGGTGTGAAGTCCATGAAGTTCTGACCCGGTTGGATGTGCCTGGGGAGTGGGGTGGAGGGGAGGCTGTGGGAGGGGAGGCTGGAGCCTAGCAAGGCTCCACCGCTTTTCAACCCACAGCTGGGATTTCTATTTAAACTATTTATGGCGAGGGGTCCATAAATAGTTTGACTTGAAGAAAATAGTCTGCAGAGCTCAAACAAATTTTACACATAATTTTTATAGATACTGTTTAGGGAAAAACTCTCAAACCATGTTTTTCCTCTGTTTTCACACAAAAACAACAACCATCATCAACACAGAAGACTTCTGTGGCCCCAGAATATGTGGGGATTTCTCCCTGTAAGAAAGCAGCAGACACTAGCTGGGTGTCTCCCAGTCCACTTTGGACACTACCCAGAGAGGGTGTCAGATCCCACAGGTTGAAGGTTGAGGCCCACACGTCTGGGCTTCCCGAACTTCTGACCAACTGACTTCTACAGGGGTGCCGTGATTCCCTCTTTGGGGTCAACTAATTTGCCAGAGCAGCTTACAGATTCCAGGGAAACACGTTTACTGGTTGATTATGAAGGATATTTTAAAGGATATAAATAAACAGCCAGATGAAGAGATGCATAGGGCCAGGTCTGGAAAGGTCCTGAGCACAGAAGTTTCCATCCCTGTGAAGTTGGGGTGCGCCACTCTCCAGGCATGTGGATGAATTCTTCTTCACCTTCCAATCTACCTCCACGTGTTCAGCTCTCCAGAAGCTCCGGGAACTATGTTCTATTGGCCTTTTATAGAGCGTCATCGGTTGTCCATGATTGAAGCTTGGACAGCTGTGCAGAAATGTGATGGGTCAGAAAGGGCATTATGTAAACCTAGCAAGGCCTGTGTGCTCAGATTCTTCTTGGCCTCTCTGTGCTGCATTCCTTTCTCCAGAATATGGGACAGGAAGAACCCTTTCTGGAATGAGGGTCTAATGACCCACAGTCAGATTCGAGTCTTGCCTTGGCCAGGTGAAAGGAGGACAGGAGAAGGTCAGAGAGAGATTCTGTTTCATGAGACCTGCTTCTGAGGCTTGAAGTACCCCAGCACTGCTACGAGGGTTATAGGAGTTATGAGCCTGAAATTGTGGATGAATATCTATCTATCTATCTATCATCTATCTATCTATCATCTATCTATCTATCTATCTATCTATCTAGTCATATCATAAGTAATAAAATAATAAATTTCAGCTAATTTATTTAATATTTAAATGATAAAAGAAATATATATGTAAAATCATAATATCAGATACAGTCAAATTGCTTTGCTTTCCAAAAAAAGCTGTTCCAATTTGCACTTTTAATAATACCATTTGCCACATGATCACTAACGCTGGGTATTCCATTGTTTCAGATTTTTCTAGCCTCAGGGGTGAAAAAATTGTATCTTGACCAGGCCTGGTGTCTCATGCCTGTAATCCCAACACTTTGGGAGCCCAAGGTGGGTGGCTCACGAGGTCAAGAGATCAAGACCATCCTGGCCAACATGGTGAAACCCCATCTCTACTAAAAAACACAAAAGTTAGCTGGGCATAGTGGCACACACCTGTAGTCCCAGCTACTTGAACCGGGGAGGTGGAGGTTGCAGTGAGCCAAGATCACACCACTGTACTTGCCTGGTGACAGAGCAAGACTCCATCTCAAAATAATAATAATAATAATAATAATAATAATATCTTGTTCTTATTTGAACTTACATTTCTACTAACAGTGAAGAATAAGAATCTTATTTATGTTTATTGGTCATTTATATTTGGTATCTCATCATTAGTTAATTAGCAAAAATTATCACTGACCTGAAATACCATTTTTGCCAGATACTACATCTCCATACATAAATGGAGTACTTCTGGATTTGTCTGTTCCTACAATGATACCGTACTGTTCGGTGTACTGGAGTGATACATTATTCTGACATCTGAGAAGCCAAGTCCTCCCATCTTTACTTTCTTTTTGTCTTTTATAGTTTTCTGTTGGCATGCTAGTCTTGCTCATTTTCTTTTCAGATAAAGTTTTAAATCTCCATTGGAATTTTGATTGAGACTGTATTTAAGATACAGATTAATTTGAGAAAACAAATTGAACATTATTTAGTAATGTGGTGTATCTTTCTGATCGTTCAGTTTTTTTTTAATGTCCTTTGGTAACATTTTATCATTTTGTAAATTTCTTAATGAGGTTATTTCTAGGTATTTTATGGTTTTGTCGTGATTGTGAACAGAACCATTTCTTCCGTCACGTTTTCCACTTGGTTACTTTCAGTATACAGGAAATTATTTTTTAAGATTTATCCCATTCTGGGCACTTCTACTGAACTCTGTTATTAACATAATAATATTTCAATTAATTATCTGATTTTCTGGTGGAAAGAAGGGACATATCTAAAAATTGTGACAGTTTTGACTTTTTTTCCCAATGTTTATAACTCCATTCTTTTATTTAGTGGACCGGCTGAATGTTACACGTT